CTACTAAAAAACTAGCCAGGCATGATGGCAGGCGCCTGTAATCCTAGCTACTTAGGAGGCTGAGGCAGGAGGCAGAATTGCTTGATCCTGGGAGGCAGAGGTTGCTGAGAGCTGAGATTGCACCACTGTACTCTAGCCTGGGCAACAGAGCAAGACTCCATATTAAAAAAAAATTCCTTCTTGTATATAAACACTGTGCTTAATTTTACTGAATTTTTTAAAAGAGTTTCAAAACCTAAGTGAATAACTTTGACATGGATATTACAGCTTGTGCCCAGTGACTCCAAACTGAGGCTGATATTGAGCCAAAAAGGGAAGGGAGGTTATTAAAGGGCCAGCTAGTTCTTTGTAGGAAGCCTCCCCTGCTCACCCCAGGCATGGAAGAAGCCTTTATTTTGAGAAAAGATACAGAGCCCTAGACATCGGGCGACCCACAGGCAGATGCAGTTAACCTTAAGAGGTAAGGGGATTGGGAGAGTCTTTCTAAAGATGAAGTTATTGTTTTGAGGCAGTTTTTTTTTTAATTATTTTTTGTAAAAAGAGAATTAAGTTTCTGTAAAAAAAATTTTTGTTTGAATTTTAAAGAAGTATTGCAACAGAAGGAAGTACCAACTGTAAGATCTTTAAGAATTGCAAAGTTTAGGTAGACAAAGGCTTTTTTTTTCTTAGGGAGGAGCAGAGAATGTTAGAAAAAAGGTCACCGGGGAATGGCAAATGGAGAGTGAAAAAATCAAATATTAGATTATAAAATGTTTTATCTTCAAATCATCAGGTTCTTAGGAGGGGCATAAAATGGGGTTGTATGTTGGCTCAGACTGAGGGTAGCTCAAAGTTCAGCACCCTGTGGGAAGGAGCTAAACTTAAGCGAAGATTGATTAAGAAGAATTTTATTTTAACCACTGAAGAAAAATTCAGCTAATTTTTTAATATGAAGAAGAAGAAAATGTGCAGAGTGAGTGTTTGGTTATGGAATAGTTAAGGAAAGAGAGCAGCATCTAAGTCATGATGGGAAAGGAGTTTCTTTTTATAAAATGTTCCTGGAGAACACAGAGGATGGGAAGTTTTATTAGTCAGAGCTATTTACCAGGATTGTCTATGTGCTTCATCTTTTCCCACATCTTTTTTTCTTTGTTCTATACATTTCTTCCATTTGCATTTTCCTGGGTTGTATCTTGTCTAATAAACTGGTCAACAAAACTACAGTGTTTTGCAGAGTTCTGTGAGTAACTCTATCACATTATTGAACTTGAGGCAGTTTATGGGCGTTCTGAATTTTCAAACAGTAGCTCAGAAGCACAGATTGGCCCATATGGTTTGTGACTGGCATCTGCAGTGAGGACAGTGTTGTGGGACTGAGCCCTGATCAGTGCTGACTCTGAGTGGGGTCAGAATTCAAATGGTAGACAGCGTGTCAGTTTTGGAGAATTGTTTGGTGTTTAGCAAACTTTACAGATTTGATACCAGAAGAAAGATGTCAGAGGCCTGGCCTGGAATGGAACTCTGGGTGTCTGGAAATGGGAGGCTCTGCTCTCCTATACACAGGCGTCACACTGCCCATTGTCCTGTGATTCCAGGTCTCCTTCCACGGTGAGAGAGGACTGAAAACTTAGAAGGAAGGAGCTCTGATGATAGACCCCCTTTTCTCGCAGCTGCCGTTGCACCCACTCACAGACATACCCTCTAGACATTGATGTGTACACACCCCTTCCAAGACCAGGCACCACCCTCAGGAATTTCACCACCGCATTTTTTATTCTAGTGTTTCTTGCTAAAAACCCACACAACTGTCTACAAGTCTCCTGACATATTCCTATTCCCAGACACCAAGTCTGCAGCAGCAACCTGCTCTCTCCACCAAGAGTGCTAGACCACCTGTTCCTAATATCATCTGCCTGCATGGACA